TCTTTTATTGTGGCAGTGGTGCCCATTCCTGTAGTAATGCATGCTCTACATTCAAGCTTTCCCGAAAGCAGCAACTCTTGAAAGCTTATTCGCAAACCACTGACATTAAGGACAAGTAGACCAGCCGGCTGACACTAGCGGGGGCAGCTAAGTGCTAAGTCCCTTCCATTTCAAGCTCAAGCAGAGGCCAAAGTAATGTGGTGGGGGACAGTACTCAGCCTCTCAACTATCAAGATCCTTCTTTATAACCGTATTGAGCACAATGCACGACAAACGCGTAGGAGCTTTCCTCTCCATGACAAACTAGAAACAAAGGATGTAACAATATCTCACTTTGGAGCTCTAATCTCCGAAAAGGAAAACCCATGGAGGTAAAAAGTAACTTCTCCATGAGAAAATCCTTCTTACCTCCACGGGAAAAACCACAGGGGATAAAAAAATGGAAAAGGAACAAATAAGGAGATTTGAAAAGGAAAGGAAGAAAGATCACTAGGGCTCCAGGATCGTGACCTCCGTCTCACCAACAGGGTGATCCCTTGAAGGCCTATGGTACCTCTGGGTTGACACATCGGTACTTACAAAGAGTGAGGCCCCTGAGAGTTGCTGATGTTAAGAAAATAATAATGCAATTTTTAATTAATCGAATAAATCCTAAAACGATAAATAATTTAAGTACAAAGTATTAACATTTTAAGACTTAAGGTTTGGTTACTGGGAGAAAGAACGTGAATTTATATACACTCGAGTTACGGTTTTTCGATTAAATCAGTACGAAGAAAAATTGAGTTTCCATTAATTATCCCAACAGTAAGAAATATATATAAAAAAATCCACTATTTTAGAAAAATGAGTAATGATGACAGGTATTCAAAAGTAATTCAGTGAAAAGCGTACAAAGAGTGCTCCAAAACGAAAATCTTCTTTGAAAATAAACATATATAGCTATGAAAGAACTTTTATTGTATGTCTGACACCTAATGCGAATTCTATGAGCCCTTTTCTGATAGCTATGACAGTGCACTATTTTGTCCAGCTGCCCTAAAATCGCTCGAACCTGCAAATGAAGAATGGTGAAATGATAGCGGGCAACAGATGGACATTTTTGTCATTCACTGCAAGAAAATCGCTGCTTTAAAAGAGCATGAATAGAAAACCCAACATAAAAAACACGTATTCGGTAAAAATGGGTCAACACGTTATGGTACTTGCAATAACTATTCTTCATCAATGCTTCGAAAAGCGAACTATATGGAATACTTATAGAGCTATGATAACTACACTGGATAATCATATATAATAGCAATACCAAACATGCAGTATATGCAAATGGAATATTCAAGAAAGGTGGCTACAGGCTTTGTTTCCTTAACATCGATCCTAGACAGATCGAATCTTTTCGCTTGTAGCAACTCTGTTTTGCAGTTGCTGCGTAAATTCAGGGAACACTTAACTTCGTCCGAAAATATGCACTGAGATATGTAAATTTGTTCTTTAGTAGCTCCTCGAATTTTATTCGTAATGGTATGGCACTTTGTGCAAAGGACAATGCTAAATATTTTACTAATCAGAATTTTTCCCTAACGGGGCAATATAAAAGGGTAACCTTCTCTCCAGAGGTTTTGATACAACTTTCATAAAATTATCTACGTCATTCTGAAAACTTTTAATTGTGTATTTTTTTAAATTTAATTATGGAAAAGCACACTAGGGCTATCTGTCTAAGAGAAGGGATGCCTTCGTGGAGGACTTTGTAAGGGAAACTGGCTCGTATACACGTTACACATGGGGAAAACCACGAAAACACCCACGCAGCCAGTCCGTTCGCGGAATTCGAACCTCGGACCGACTGAAAAACTTTTATAGCTGAATTCAATATTTAATATACATATATGATATATATATATATAAAACATGCCTGAATTCAATATTTAAGGAAATTAAGCTTACCCCCTATCTTTATCAAATACATTGCACCTCAAATTAAATTATACAAGGTTGTAGCATTCAGTAAAACCAAGCGTTTTAAATACGATTGACACTGAATACCGAATATTTGAAAGTGAGACAATTTAATACACGTTCCAAGTAAAAAACGCAAGTTGAAATATTCGAGTTCGTAGATGTATTTTCATCTACAGGCCGTTTTATCATAAGGTGTCAGCTCTCAAAACTGTTTATTACAATGAAAAAAGATCCGATTATTAGAGCTTAGTTAACTCAGATGGAATTTTAAACTAGTTTTTTATTTATATAATTTTACATACAAAACATTGCGGACCTATGATTCATGCTATTGTAAAATAAATAAGTAACGTACGGAATGATCCTAAAACCAATGAACTTTAAAAAAAATTTGTATTTCAGAAAATCTAGAACTTGCTAACTCTATTATCGCAGAAATATAGAAAATGATTTTTTAAATTTTTAATATGCCAATTTTTTAATTGCAATCACATCAAGCAGACAATATCTAGAATTCTGAATATTTGGCTTAGCTTCTAAACTGCCATTAATACCAGTGCCATTAATACCCCCTATTACGAAACAACATTATTTTTCACCAGGGAAAAAAGACGAGACTTGGATTTTGCGGCATTCTTTATTGATCATGACTCCGTGTTGCTTTACTTACATTCACAGTGTTCGGCTAAAATGAAGTAATAACCCATCACGTTCAGTATCAATGATCATACAAATTTCAAGGTCGGAAATCCTATGATTTTTAATTATTAGGTCACCCAAAGTTATGTAAATATCATCCAACAACATAAGCAGTGTAAAAGGATGAGATACAACAGCACAGAAATAATAATCTTTAATTTTACTTGCTCGACAGTACATATAATGAATGTTATACAGCAGTTAACGGATGAAGTTAATGGCGGTTAACTTCAGCAATCAAGGCCGTTGTGTATTGCATGCTACTGTGATACTTAAATCACTCACATTAGCAGTCCAATGCTAGTATGATACTTAAATCGCTTACATTAGTAGTCACATTTGAAAAAAAAAGTGAGGAGCACGCTAACTGAAATTGCTACAGAGGTAAACGATTGCTACAGGGATTCCGAGTAGTTCTGATTTGAAACGTGTAAAAATATAAACTGTGACATTTCTCAACATAAAAAGTAAAAACGACTCATCAAATTACAACAGTTCACCAGAAAGCGAGCGGTAACGTCGCTGAACACTGGTAGTTCGGTTCGGGGGTTCAAATCCTGCCGAACGGGCTGGCTGCATGGGCGTTTTTAGTTTTCTCCATGTGTAACGTGTATAGAGCCAGTTTCCCTTAGAACGTCCTAAATGAAGGTATCCCTCCCCTTAAGCAGAGAGCCCTTGTGTGCTTTGCCGTAATCGAATAGACCAAATCACAACATAATTCATGTATAACAAAATTATAATTCAAGGCCACAGATTTAAGTCATAAAGCCGAAGCCCTGTGATTAGAATTAAGCCTTTCAGACCTGGATTTTTTAAAAAGCGCGAGATAAAAAAAAAAGGAAGTTGTGTAAAATAATGTCATTACTGTGTATTTTGCGTTCCTTTACGGATAAAACGTGATCTGCCACCAGTGATCTTAAAAAAAAAAGTATAACAAATTCTTTAAAACATATCCTTTTCATGATTTTACGCATTTTTTGTACTTACCAAAATTCTATTCAAACACTGGAACTGCTCTGAAATACACATTTTTTAAATGCTGACTGACTAAAAGTTACAGAAAGTCATCCCATATGTTTCCCTTATTTATTTCCCACATTTAACTTCTATAGTTAGTTCTAGCAGTATATCGTAAGTGTTTCAGAAAAGTTAAACAGTTAAAATAAATTAAAAAGTTTATCCAAGAAGTTAATCAGTTAAAATAAATTTGCTAAATTACACAAAATATTATCCAAAAAGATTTTATTAAAACATTGGGCAAATTCTCATTCATGAGATTTTCCGACAGATTTAAAACATGAAGGATGTTTAATATACAGAAAGAAAATTACAATGATACAGAAAATCTGTCCTGTCTATAATGTCATATAACGCTGGTGTTTGTAAAATCAGCAGCTGCCATCGGAAAATGATATTGTGGCCATATGTTCCTTTAAAAGAAGCAAAAAAGACAAATATATCTCTGACAAGATGTTGGATCCAAAGAATTAAAGGACCTAAATCGCTGTAAAGCAAAGAAAACTTATGAAGAACTAATGGTACTTTTGTAGTGGAGAAAAAGAAGTTCCGTTTTAAAACATTAGTTCCAAAATAGACTATAAATGTACTACAGATGCAGTGTTAAATGAGCTCTTTCATCAAAATTTTTGTTGATATCAATATATTTATCGCTATTACATTTCCCTCACTTTTTTCTTATTTATTTTCTATATATAAGCGCATAGATTTTAGAACGATGTTTCATTTTTTTCGCTAAATAAAACTATTTTTATTTCCATGGGTAAATATTATATATAAACGTTATTACATAAATCGTGTCGTTGTTTCCACTCCTATATATGAGATGTCACAAAAAAGTTTTTGCAGAAAGGCACATTTGTTCATCAGCTCGTTATCAATAAATGTACGCAAATTATAGAAAAATATTGTTTTTAATATAGATTTACATTTAATTCAAGATGTTTTATATTTGGCATATTTTACTACGTATTTTTGATTACATAACTGAAAATAGTGGTTCGCAGAAGGTGTTACGGCAAAGGCATTCCTTAGCGCGACGACGGGAAATGAGTTATTATTATATGCAAGGTGCCTGGAAATAACTTTTTCACTTCTAGAACTAATTCAGTAAATTTACTAAAACGACGCAACTTGCTGTTTGGCAATCTTGTCATTAAAGCACTTAACATCTGATTGCTTCGACGCTAATCGACACCCAACAGTAAATCCTACGCAGCAATTATAGTCAAAAAATAATCCCACAATGCCAAGATCAAGAAACACCTGCATTTGAAACATGTGACACATGAATTATCTACATGCTATCCATCAAAACGTATCATCAGCGTAGTTCCTGTTGGTTTAAGTTCAAAATTTCCCACAGTGGGATGCTACTGGAATTTTCACCTGCAAGATTTCATTTTTGACAAGCATCTAAAGTAGTAAGATAACAAACTTGATAAGGATTATCTTTTACGAATAAAATTTAATTCTAAATTTCGGTGATAACCTGTTGGTATAATTATTGATTATCATATGAATTGGATACATGTCAAAGAAATAGACTTTACCCTTCTTTTTAAACACCGAAAATTCTTTTCTTTATAATTTGGTGTAGTATCTCTGCATTCCAGATTTAAATATAAGTTTTTAGATTTTTTTTCATTAATGAAATGTAATTTTAATATCATGACTGGTAGATAATTAACTTTCATAGCGGATATTTTAATGCTCCTTGTTTTTTATATACTACTTTAATATCGTAGTGATGGTGAAAAACTGTTTAATAAAGGACAGAGTAATGTAATGATATGAACCTCTAACATTTGTCAGAAAGTTGATACATTAAATTGCAGAAGTTGAGGTATAGTGTATTATATTTATGCAGAAATGTGGTTTCCTACGAGACTTACTTTCGTAATCTAGAGATAAGAGTTTAGCTTCTAATCATTAACTGTTTTCTATTTTTTATACTTACAATAAATTTTAAATCAAATAAAACATAGTCTATGATAAAAATGAAGGTTGAAGGGAGAGTCTCTTAAATAAAAGCGAGATAAAGTTTTTTTTAATATCTTCCATATTTCTGTAACGCTTTAGATGTTCATTGGATATCTCATTTTATGTTATAAATAGAAAATACTGGTGAATTTTCTTCCCTTTTTTTTTTTTGGATTTTAAAAAATAATTACTCGTAGATTTGATAAAAGTAAGGCACGACCTGTTTTTTGCTATAATGATATATAAACAAAACTTAGTATTCTTAGAAAACAATGATTAAAAGCGGACTGCCTTTATAACACAATTGCATTAAAAATGAAAACGTTAGCTGAAAATTTTTCTACGCATAAGCTTCTATTTTTTGTCCATTTTCTTCATTTGATTGAACTTTTTACCGTCGGCGTTTTTCCTCCTGCGGGTTCATTTTCCTACGACTTTTTATTACGCTATCGTTTTTTTTAAATAGCGTATTTCCTAGTCATTTTTTTCAGGTTCATACATTTTTTCCGTTTATTATAATTTTATTTTATTTTATTAGCTGGCAATACATCATCCTGAAAATTTTGGTTTCAAACTGTCGTCCTTATCTCAAACAATTCAAGTGACCCTTATTTTCTGAATCAGTATATTTTTAAAAGTTTGTATAAAATCATTCATAATAAGTACTCAGACAATAAAAATCGTAAATTACATATTTTTATATTATTACAAAACTAGATTTTAATCACATTTTACTTTTTACCTGATGCTTGTATAACTTTAATGTCTTCAACGAAAGATAAAGCGAAAAAAAAATTGAATATTAACTTATTTTATAGATAAGATAATACCAAAATAAATTAATTTTATGCAAAAAAAAGTTTCTATTAGTATGATAAAAATTTAACATAGGTCCAATTGCTAAAAACCATGGGATCTTTAGTATAGTATTTATTCAAAAATAAACCTCCTCCTATTTTTATTCAACAATAAACCTCCTCCTATTTTTTTGCGATATTATTTTATGTAACCCCCCCCCCAAAAAAAAAGAAACGTTTCTATTAGTATGATAAAAATTTAGCATAGGTCCAATTGCTAAAAACCATGGCATCTGTAGTATGGTATTTACTCAAAAATAAACCTCCTTCTTTTTTTTTCGATCAAAATACCCGTCATTATAAACGAGTATTTTGATAAATGAAATCGCAAAAGGAAAATAAAGAGTTTAAATTATACAATATCAGAATGATTACACTATTTAAATGCCAAATAAACCAAACAAGCAATAACATAATATACATTTATGAAAAAATGCATACAAAATATAAACGTTAATGCTTCAACCCTCCAGCACGCACGTATGCGCAAAATTTACGATAAATTCTGTTTTTAATGCGTATTTTTCGCATATCGAAGCTGAGACGTTTGAAGGTCATTTCTATTCCTCCTTTCTACCCTTCTCCACATCATGGAATGTGCCAAAAGGAAGTAAATTGACTTTTTTTTAACTGGGCTTTTGTGAACCTTTTCGTAAAAGTTACAGCACGCGCGTGGTCGTGGGTGAAAATTCGGAAAATATTTTTTTTCTCAAATATTTTGTAAATTTGTACTATTAATTGTCGTGTATTATTTTAATTTGTATACATTTGGCTCTGTAATGTTTATATCGGTTTCCATGGCAAAAAAAATATGTGCAACCAGCTGATTTTGCTCGCATTCTTCAAGAATTATCTGATGAAGAAAAGAAAGACAAGGAAACCTTTGGATGGGAGAACAATAGCGATTTCCATCCCTTATTTTCTTTTATTTCTATTTTTAGAAATAGATAAAAATATTAAAGTTAGTTTAAAGCGCGTTTTTGTAACCAGTAAGAAGTAAATATTCTTGCAGAAGTAAGTACTGCTAAACATATTTTTTTTCCTACCAAGGTGAATGTTTTCCTTTTTTATTTGTCTGTACTTGCCTTTGATGAATGTTAAAATTAGTTCGATTTTAAAATATAATTATTAAATAATAAATTTAAAATTTTCTATAATGAAAGATATCACTGCATTTCCATCTCACTAACTTAAGAATTTAAAACTAATTTACTTATACTTGAATGTGATATCATTTGTATTTTGCAATAGTAAGGTTAATATTTTATTTCTTAACAAATTTATTATCAACATTCACTCATTTCTGTCGTTTTTCGTGCCAAAAACTGTAAAATAACGGATGTCGTAAAAAATACGACACGTGCGTGCTCATGTAAAATTGCCAAGCGCGTTCTGGAAGGTTAATATTCTAATCGGTCATTTCGATATATAGCAAACGAAACAAGGAGACATCTTTCGTATAAATGATCTTTGATGTATTTTATAATGGCAAGGCACACGAGGGTTATCTGCCTAAAGGGAAGAATGCCTTCGTGGAGGACTTTCTGAGGGAAACTGGCTCGTATACAAGTTACATACTTTCGTAAAATGAATCGAAACAGAAAAGTAATGATTACAGAATGAAAAGAAAGAACTAGAAAATCTCTATCTGAGAATGTAAATAATGAAGGAGGAAAATCGAAATCGCCTGAATGACTAGTGCATCATTAGCGCATAAAGCGAAGACAAGAAATATTATGAACATTGTATTTTTTAAGTTGGTGTTGGTGTATTTAATTATGGCAAAGCACACGAGGGCTATCTGCCTAAAGGGAGGGATGCCTTTCGTGGAGGACTTTCTAAGGGAAACTGGCTCGTATACACGTTACACATGGGGAAAACCACGAAAACGCCCATGCAGCCATCCCGTTCGCGGGATTCGAACCTCAGACCGAACTACCAGTGTTCAGCGTCTTTACCGCTCGGCCGCTGGTGGGCCTTGTATTTTTTTTTTTTTTTTTTTTAAGATCGAATAATATAAACCTTCCTGGACAAAAAGTTTTCATTTTTATCTTTCGCATGCTAAACTTTAAAACATCCTGAAGATTAAGTTGTAAAACATTTTAGCCTAAGCTGCTCAAGTAAATGTGCTGTATTACTAGCAAAAGTTTATTAAGATAACTAAACAGTTAAAAAATTTAATTAATTATTTTATAATAAGAAATTAGAGCTCGTTTTATTGCAAATCAATCTGAAATAAAACGATTTCATTAAATTTTGAAAGTCTGGAGGCATGATTATATTTTGTCTGGACTTCTACAGCTATTTTTATGGGTAAACTAAAACAAGCCTTATTAAGCAGGCCTTTGCGGTCGGCCAAGAAGACTGCGAATTAAAAAAATAATTTCTCATCATAAAGGTATGTCTTTAATTGCTTACTGTGCTTATTGCGTTTATGCTCAGCTTAAAAATTTTATTTAATTTATGTTCGAGTTAAACATATTTTGTTTAGGTTCAAAACCGGAGATTCTGTCAAAACCCTGTTCATTGCAAATTATACATAAAATTTTTGCAGGAGTATTTCGAAATTAATTCTTAAAAGAATTTCAGAATGTCCGTTAATGAGTCTCATGTAAATAAACAAAAAGATGATAAAAAGGTACTCAACTTTTTTACTGCCACTACCATTCTGATAAATTCTGACACTTGAAATCAGGTTTTAGATTGTATAGTAAAAAGCAGAAAAGAAATGAAATGACTTTTGAATTCAGAATTAAAGCTAAAATAATTTTAAAACTAAAACCTTATTTGTAAAGGTTGCAAAAAGCTGCACAGTGCAATTTACGGTATCGAAACAAGACAACAGGTGAAATCTCTTGAAACTTTTAGCATTAAGTGGCTCAAGTAGTTTAATTTCAAAACCCTTTCAAGGCATTTTTGAATTACAAAAATATTTTCAAATATTGACTTGAAAAATGCTAAATGATTACTTTCTTACATCAACCATCATCTGCAAAGTTGCATTTCTAGATTTAAATATAGGAGAAAGCATTTCTTGGACTTTATCTAGAAGGGGAAAAAACCTGCTACTATTGTGGTTTACAGAGTTAGTCAGCCAATAATCCTTCTACAAAATATAATGTTATTTTAAAATAAATAATGCAACCTTTTATAGTGTAAGTATATTTTCACATATTGATCACATTTTAAAACGTATTGCTAAATAATGTAAGGAATTAAAATTTGGAAGATTCCTGGATAATGCATAAATTCAGTTTGGATAATGCTAATGTACAAATGGATAATGCTTTAAAATTCAGTTTATGAGAATATAAAAGTTTAGCAATATCTTGAAAATGCATTTTTCTCGCATCTTTTAAAAGTTTAGTGAATGATAGACATTATATCATTTTATTTTTTTCCCTCTTATTTGTTATGTATTTTCATTCTACATAAAGTGATTCAATTTAACCAATTTATGTTTAAATCAATCACTTAAATAATGCAGTCAATTACAATACAGGGCCAAATAAAGCTTCTTGGAAACCGTCCAAGTCAGTAAACCCCAATCTATAGGGATTTTCTGAGAGACTCGAAAAGCCGATGTCTATCCAAAAAACAACCAAATGACGGAACTCATAAAGCGTAAATGACTCACCAGTGGTAGAGTCGAGCGCAAAGTAGCCTTGAGGATCTCCGGCGGTAATATGGAAGGAAATCCTTTGATCGGGATTAACGTCCAGATCGAAAGCGTCCATCTTGACCACGGTAGTGCCTTCTGGGGAATTTTCTGGAATGTTTGGATAGTACGCTGGCTCGAAAGTCAATGGTGTGTTGTCATTTTCATCTTCAACTTCGACATACACGTCTAGCCGAGAAGTCAATGGAACAGCTCCTCTGTCCTGAGCAATAACAGTCAACCAATAACGAAGACTAGTTTCTCTGTCCAAAACAGCTCTGGTGCGTATATTACCTATTGAGAAAAGAAATGATAGAACCGAATAAGATTTTCATTTACGTAATATATTGACAGACAAATCATTTTATAAATGCACATTAAAACAAATTAGCATGTCAATACCTATCTATTTTACACAGTCGTGTGTTTTATATATATATATATATACGTATGCATATGACATATATGCATATTCAAGAAGATAAGCTCTACAAACATTTTCAACGGAATTAAATGAAGAAGCCGTTTAAAATTTAAAAAAATGGGTGTTGTTTCATTCTAGATAAAGCCGTTAATCACTGTAACTAAAAAGTTTTGTTTTCTAGCTGATCTTTGAATTTATTCAAGGAAGACTTGAATTTAGGTCGATATTAAGCACCGAAAAAAATGATTCAAGTCAGCAAATCTTTTCTCGAGTATTTTTATGGGTTTTGCAAACAAGGTTAAGAACTTCCTCTTTTTAACTAATTAAAAACTTATAAGGTACTTCCTTTCTTGCTGCTGCATGCCTTCGTGGTGTAACTGGAAGCTCGCTCAACGCGTATTCGGGAGGTCCGGAGTTCGAATCCCCGACAGGGCACCACCCATTTGTCACGTTTTTGCATCGATAAACCCTAACGTTTCTACAAACTGTAAATATTTTATTAACTGGATATTTTACTCTGCGGTGACCATATATAAACTTAATATTTTTCTGAACGAACTAATTTAAATATTTTTTTGATTTTATTTTTCTGAACGAACCTCAACAATGTTAAACAGCTTTCGTAAAATTCTGCGCTTTCTTTCAAGGAACTCTGTAATTAGAAATATAGATTTCTGTAATTAGAAATATATATTTTAAGTCCAATATTAAAGAAATAAAGCAGCTTTTCGAAGTATCATTTATATATCTTTGCGCATGTTTCTATGTGATTATCTATTTATCTATCTATCGATCGATCGATCGATGGATAGATAGATTAGATAGAACAGATAGATGAAATACAACTGTACAGAAAGAAACAAATAAGAAAAAAATTTTAAAAATATTCAACGTCTCTTTTGTTAAAGATGTAAAGCGGTAAATAAATAAAAACGAAACAGAAGCACAGTAGCTAAACATAAGTACGAGTATTTAAAGTTCATGACTGTCCTTCCTTCAGAATAAAAGATCAGAATGATCAAATTGTGCAGTAAACCATAAAACAAACAAGACATAAAATAACTAAAAATTAAAAGAATAAATGCAAACGAGTTTTAAAAATAAACGGAAAACTATTTCCTTCGCAACATAAATTTCGCGGTAGATATATAAAGTAGTTCTTATTGAACAAATTAGATATTAATGCAGAAATGGGCAAACCACCAGTATGCCAAAATAACATAACGACTAGTATGAAAGAAGTTCTTTTAAATAAACTTTGCAAAAGGCTAATGAAATATGACTGAAAATTTACAACCGAATTTTTTAATATTCCATTTGATTTATTTGATTTAATCTGAATCAAATAATCAGAAAAAAATCGTAGCGCATTTTTATTTAATTATATTATTTTAAGAACGGAAATACCTTTTATCTTTCCTTTCTTCTAATCTTTTTTAGCTTACTAATACGACTGGATCATCAGAAAAATTATGTTTATATGCATAATAATTTAGTATGACTATACAAAAGTGCATAATGAATTCTCTCTCTCTCTTCTCAGAATGCCTTCGTGGTGTAACGGTTAGAACATTCGGTGCGTATTCGAGAGGTCCAAGTTCGAGTCCCGGCGAGGACATTGCTCATTTTTCAAATCTACTGCTTAAAAAAAAAAAAAAAAAAAAAAAAAAAAAAAAAAAAATCTAGTGTCTCTACAATGGCGCCCGAACTAAACGCTGGTGGATAATGATTCTTCACCAGCAGGATTTGGCAATTGGGTCCCCTAATCCCCAGTTGCCCTTTAGAAGAGTATTATATTCCTCCTTTCTGCATGCTTTCGAAACGTAATTGTTAGCAAACTCGGTGCGTATTCGACAGGTCCAGGTTCGAGTCTCGGCGAGGTCACACCTCATTTTCCCTATCTCCTGATTCAAAAAATAGCATAATGTTTTTACATGTGCATTTAACTTTTAATGTATGAAAGCAATATATTGCATAAAAATTAAATTAAACATACTGTCCGTTTATTATCGTCGAAAAAAATGTTTATATCTTCATTACAACTTTACGGCAGGTGGTTAATCTCTGTTTTCTGTAACTCTACACGAAAAATTTTGACGACTGACAATTAGCTAATAAGACAGATTTAAATTTATTACTTAACTTCGCCAACATTAATACAGCAGCTAATTTTTGCCCACAGAAGTAAAAATTGAAACACTGATTGCTGATGACACCGACTGCTACATTGACTATGTACTGACTGTTGATGACATTGATTGCTGCATTGACTATACCCTTATTGACTGATGCTTTCCTTCATATGGAATGTGCCTGATATCCAGATGGGAACAAAATATTTTAACAAGTATCAGAATTGAGTAATTTGTTTTCGCTAATTCCAGATTTTATTCAGCTTCATCTCCAGTACAATATACAAACTTTAATAATCATAGAAAACATCAAACATACAGTCAAAATTACAAATCCTTCATCGAACGATAATACAAAAGGCAAGCTCATTTTGGACTCGCGGGATTTTATTATTTTTTTTATTTTTCTGGTATCTATTAATATTTGAAGTGAATATATTTGTATAATGACAGACTACGGTAGGGCTGACTTTACCTCGATAGTTATCCGAAGTGAATTTGTAATCTTCGTGAAAAACATCGTATAGATGAGATAAAATAAAACGCATTGTATCTGAAAGCTGGTGATGCAGAATACGGTATTGCTCAACCTAGACTATGCTACGGTAGGGCTGTCCTTAGTCTAAATTAGCCCTATCGTAAGACCATCTAGGTCTGAATTTTACCTTGATAATTATCTGAAATGCATTTGTAGTCATTATAAAAAACATCATATAAATGAGATAAAACGAACTGTATTGTATCCGAAAGCTGGTGATATAAAATATGACAGCAAAAATGTCACTACCTCTCGATACATTATGCGTTCATACTATATTGCTTTTAATTAAAATTACAAAATAGCTAAAATAAAAAAATAAAAATAATTACTTTTTTTCCGTTTTGTTTTCTTTCCTCTGTAGAATATATAAAAGAAGAAATACTCAAGCTGTTATTATTTCAACTTCGCGTGATTCATACACCATGAATTACGTTAACCTCAAATGTTGGAAATAAAGTCTAATATTTATAAAATTCAATTAAATGAATTTCAATATAACCCATTCAATTTAAAATACTTGATGAAATTTTCTAATTCTCCATACTTTCTTCCAGGAAAAATAGCTATATATTTAACTGAACATCGTGAATTTATTATTGAAGAATACTTTCAATTCCGCCATAATCCAAGAGCTGGGACGACAAGTGACAGAGAGAGCTATCAATTGTCCTCAAAGAAAAGATCGAAAAAACGGAAAACGCTTATGCTAGGAGCCCACAGAAATATCTTCGAGAAGCAGCTCAGCAAGCTAGAATTTGAAGAGAAAATGTTGGCGAGATCGTCAAAACTAAGCTGCATTACTTGAGTACAGAATTTGAACGTTTCGAAATTTTCTTTTTAAACTTTAACACTTCTTTCATACTTATCTAGGGAAAATTTTATATAATTATTTAAAAAAAATTTCTACTTTTTAAAAATATTAATTAAGAAGCTTAAGTTTAAAAATGCTATTATCTTAATATTCGCTTTTATTTGTTTACTGAGAGTTTTTTCGTTTTAATATAAAGTGTGCACAGTTTTTTTTTTGTTTCTATATGTTATGCTTGAAATGGATATCATTGCTTAATTTTTTTATACCTATTTTTTGTGAAATCCTATTGGCTGAAACCTCTTATGAAATTTCCTTCTAGAAAGCGCACTTTATAGCATACAGTTGTGCTGATTTGACTGTTGTTGCTACATGCCTGATTTAGCACTTATTGTTTTAGGTGAATGACCGAGTTCTGACTTAATTCTGATTAAAAAAAAGGGCAACAGCTGCAATATGCATTTGACCATTTTTTTTAAGGTTATGATTTGCTAATCTGCTTTTTATTGTTAGTGTGATATATTACTATGTAACTTAAATGTATTGAAACTACGATATATTCTTACATATTTCTCATTAATAAATTATTTGCCACAGAATTTCTGTGTTTTAATTAGCAATAAGAAATTCCCGGCACTTGAAAGATGCTTCGCTGAATGCATGCTTGGATGACTATGACAATAAATTAATGGGAAATATACCTGAAATTAATTCCAACTAGTTAAACAGTTAGTAATACTTATCGTTTTGTAGTGGGATCTAATTTATATTTGAAGTCTATTGCGGACTATTAGTCTATTGCAGAAAAGTTTACACCAGTATTCTTGCATATTTCATAAAATATTTAAAGTCATGTCAGAATTTTGTATAAATATTATTCAGCTAAATAAAAAGCATTTAATCAAATAGTAATTCTCATTAAATTTTAACAATGATACCGAAATGTTGTTTACATGTATTAAAATTATATATGACTACTTACACAAATCGTTGCCATTTAAAAATCTATAGACTGCCTTTGTGATGTAACTGTAGCTCTTTTTAAATGGAGACAACAAAGCTATACAAAGCAATCTTTCAGTGAAGGGAAACGATTTAGCTATATAACTAAAAAATCTACGCACACACTGAAAGATTATCGAAGTAATGTCTAAGATTAGTGTGTTGATATGATGCAAAAATGAAAGCCATTAATATTTACAATTTTTATTTACAGTTCACTACTTAAATAGATATCTTGTTTTCACAACTGTGACCTACTTCAAAATTCACCGTCATTATTTATGTACGTCTCCTATATTCAATAACATCCATATGCGCTATTTTTAACACAGAGCGTTATTAGAGCCATTTTTATCGATGATGCCATTACATTCCAGCTATCTAAAGGCATCAGGGAAAACGGGAAAAACGGTGAATCAAAATAAAAGGAAGGTTGCTCCTTTAACGCGCTCCTGATCGTTCTTCATCATCATCTACTTCAACTTCAGCTTCAGCAGGCAACCGGGTGCGTTAGAGAATACGTTATTCCAAGGAATAGAGGCAATGGCGCGAGAGATTGAGAATGAAGTGAAAGAAGATAAAAGTAAAAGAAGCATGCATTTTTTTTTTATTATTATTTTTTTCTCAGGCGCCTGCTCTTGAAGATCATAAATGAATTTTGTTCGCCAGCTCTAGGGAGAAGAACAGATGAAAAATCTGTCCGTAAGAGAATTCGATTTCTCCTTCCCCCTTTTCTTTCTATTCCTCTTAAAAGTGGTACTAGCGGTGCTGAGGAAATGAGTGTTTTCTTCTGGATCTTCTTGTTAGGTTTTACCAATATTCCCAACCGGAAACGATAACTGACATGTACTAGAAGCATTTTACTGCCTATGATTTAAGTCGCGCAAACCTTATATTTTAAGTACCTGTCAAGATTATAACCAGCTTCATCAAATATGCACTTTTAATCGTGAAGATTAAACGCCAGTTAGTAACACTGATTTAGAACTCGACACTACCTTTAGCATAAATCTGCAGAGATATTAGAGATTTACCAAAGCAGAAAACATATAAAATCTGCTAATGTCATTCCCTGTATTCTACCTCTGCACCTCCCGATTCTAGTCGGACATGCTTCCAGTTACAACAAAAAGGCATGAAGCAAGGAAGGAGAAAATTCCTTATACGTTAACACACTGAAGTGAGTATAAGGAAGCACAATAAGCGAAAACGTTGCTTCTGTCACGTCTTTGAATAAGAAAAGTCTATAGTTTTAATGAAACAAATCAAGCTAAAGCATTACAAAGCAGCATTCTACCTCACGATTTGAACACTATTATGAAATAAGTACTAATACACCTTTTATTTAAAAACAAATAATTTAACAATACCTTAAATAAATTATTCCACAAATAATGCATGACCACTTTGAAAATATATGTCTTGTTTTCATTTTTTAACTTAAGTTTTTAACAGTGTCAAAAATGTCTGAATGAATGGAAGAGCGAAATTAATTTTTGTCTGATTGCTGATCTATGATGCACCTGGAAGTCATTCTTGAAATAAATATACTCGCATTGTTAGTTACAATTTAGTTACACATCATGAATCTTTGAGAGGCTGTGATATACAGATAGAAATGCATGAAAATTAGCTAAAATTATGAGTGACCAAAACATCGAACAATGAAAGCCTTTCAAAATGTACGTTACAACAATGAAAATATATTTCATTAACTGACAGCAAAAGTTGGGGGAGTTTGAAAATTTAAATAATATTTTATACAATATGAGTTTGATATCCTGCCTACATGATTCGGAAGTTTGGTGCAATCACGAGGCGGAAGGTTCGTAGTGTAATTAACGTTTTTTTAGAATTATTATGGTTTGTGAAACTAAAACAAAAATCGCTGCTAAAGTATAGTGTTCATCGAAAATATTATTGCCTGTCTTAAAACTGTACCTTTACTCCATTTACAGAGCCAGATTTTGCAATTTATAAAAATGTTTTCAGTCTACAATGAAGCAATAATAAATAAAATAAAAAATATCTGCACCAGTTCATGAAATCTCATACAGATAAATTCTTAGAAAATAAAAGTGGTCTATGTCTACGTTAAACGTCTTTCTTAGTTTAATATAGACATCATCTACTTTTCAGGAAAAAATTTCATTTTCTAAAACGGTAGAAAAAGAGGTCTAAAAGCTTTAAAGCAAGTTGCGTAGTTTTTGTCAATATAGAGAAAGAAATATTTCATGGTCTAAGATAATGTACATGATCTGAAAAGAAAAGACGGTTCCGATCTTTCTTGCTCTTCACGCTAAAAAATCCTGTCAAAGTTTTCATAGTGGGATTTCAAGGCAGATTCTCCTTCGCTAGAAATATTTATGTTGCCCAGAATTTTCATTTTAGAATCAGTAAGAGAAAAAAATGAGTAAAATATTTCCTGACTTGTAGAATAAACAGCGTATGTACACATACATGCATCCACGCATATATATATCCTCTATTTCAACAGTGATCAACTTCAATGAAAGGGATACTTCGGAATGACTTAGGAGAGTATTTATTCAGCAAATCTATTTAATATGAATACAAATAACGATAGTTTCACTTTTACCTAAAATGCAATAAATCATTAGTTTTTAAAATTTTAGCTTTGATTTTAGAACTAATTACCAATTTTATTAATATTAATTCAAAATTATAACTGCAGTATGGTATAAAAAAGTTCATTCTCCATAAATAATTCACATAAATTTTATCTTTACATATAAAAGAGAAGAATATTTTGAGGTGAAACTAAGCTATTCGGAGAATTCCAACAGTAACTTGCCACTTTGATGAAGCAGTATATCTGATAGAACGATTAATAAATGTAGACTTTTTTTTTAAAGTAAAAATGTTAGACTTTTTCAAGCGTAACCTAATTCAGTTTTCAAAAATTATAATTTCGTGTGATCTAATCCATGAGAAAAGTGAAACCACATAGTCAGATATCACTTGGCGGATGGCAGATCATTATTTAGGTATTCCATAAAAGAAACAGGACTGATTATTTCAATTATGCATGTTAGTTAAATATATAAATATACATACAAGCGGTATAACTGATAGTGTAGAGACATTAGGATTTTTGGAAGCCGGATAGATGAGAAATTAGCAACACTTTCGCTGGGAATCGAACCGCGGACCTCTGGAATACCGGCCCAGCATTCAGAACCACTACACCCCGAAGGTACGCTAGGAAGGCGGGAGAAATACCTTACATACTCCCCCTTTTAAAGGAGCGACTGGGGTTTTTAGGGGACTCAATCGCAAAATCCTGGGTGGTCAGAAATCATCAACCACCGCCTTTTAGTTCGGGCGCCACTGTAAAGACATTAGAATTTTTGGAAGCCGGAAAGATGAAAAATTAGCAACGCCTTCGCCGGGAATCGAATCGCGGACCTCTGGAATACCGGCCCAGCGTGCAGAACCACTACACCATGAAGGCACGCTAGGAAGGCGGGACAAATATCTTATAATAGTATTGAGGCATTTGAGTGGTAAGGTAGCTTTTACTGGGTCACGAGATCATTATCTTCCTTACTGCCTCATTTTCTATACTATTTTGCTATTTTACCTACTCTAATGGTATAAAAAATCCATTCGCATGAGTTGTATATTAAGAATAAGGTAGAAAATTGGAGAGATAAAGTAATAAATAACAGATGTTACAGTTAAAGCTAATTTGAAAAGTTCCGTATTTGCTCACTGTTGAAATGAATTTAAATGATTCAACTTATTTCGGTGGGAAAAAGTAGCTGCTTTATTTCTCAAGACTAGGAAATTCTTCTCCAAGTACAAACACTGCTCGTTAAATGGAGCATGTTAAATGGAGCGTTAGCTGTTTCATATTATGCAATGCACAGCCCTTTTCATCTAGTATCAACAACAAAGGTTAAATTTTGCCAGTTATAAGCAAAACTTAGAATGCCCTGAATAGCAACTCGGAGTAATTATATTTATTGGTCATTGATTTGACGGATCACATAGTAGTTCTGAAGGTGAAACAAGCGAAACACTAGTTAATAGTATACAAGTAATAGAGCAAAATTTAACAATAGTAAATTAAATACTAAGAGAAAAATCTGCTTAGAGGTACAATTTTTGGATATTAAAATTCGCTGATTGGCCGTGGTAAGTAAGCAATTATACTCAAGATTCTGTTCATAAAATAATGTGAAATAGCTTAAAGGTGGCTGACATGCAGGAAATTCTGTTATTTCAAGGAGTAACTACAGATGTCGTAAGCGAAAAGATTAGACAGAAAGTTCGGAATTTATAATTAAGACGATGAGCAAAATGCTGCATTACCATATTAAAATTCAGAAAAAAATCAACATTAATTACCTATCATGATGAAAGCTTGCGAATGAAAATACTTTCATAATCCTGCAGTCATACAACAAGTTAATTATCTAAACTAATTAGATCATTAATTGGTGGATGATGGTAAAAGGCGAGGGTTAATAATTATAGCAAATTTAAATTCATTAATTTCCGGCCTATATGCTTTTAAGCTAAGAACTTTAGAAATTTATTTAAATTATATTTTTGGACTCCGTGCAGTTTT